AACCAAATGAAAAATAATGGTCTGAGAATAACCATATTCTTCCTATAGGAAGAAATCAATGCATACTTTATATCACATCTTATTTTCCAGTTTATAATTTTCTGGTCTATAGTAAATAATTTTTTGTCTTAATGCTTATTGATATTATTTACATGTCTCAAGTCTTCTGATATTGTTGGACTTCCAATTTATGGCTACTGCACAGCATCTTTCAGACCTTTTGGCTTTTTCCAGCATTTGTGTGCATTCATATTCACAGGACTAGAGTGAAAGCAGCTGAAAATAATGTCATCTTTTATATGCAGTTCATGGTAGGACATTTCCTGTGGGCTAGAAGAAGTGTTTTTCTGACATACCCCAAATGGATTACATTAATCACTTTTTGTCCCAAAGCAGCTTAGTGTATATGCTCTGCAAAAACTTTCCTCATTTGGTCCTTCACAGAATTCTTCCAAATACATTTACATTTGACATGCCCATTTTATCCTCCAATGTGATTATTTTCATAAATTGCTCCACTAATTTAATAGTTAATAACCTCTCTGGAGAATAACTCAATTTTGTCACACGTAATCTAACTAAAAATAATTTCTGTAGTTGTTTGGTGACTTATGCACTTATTTGAAAATTTTATTGCTAGTTCCTTACCAACATGGTGTTTTTCATGTTAAAGTTGAAAGACAATCGTTCACCTACTATTGTGTCTGGGTCATTGTCAGAGACTCAGATAATACTGTCCTTTGTTTTTATAAAAATAGCTTTTGCAAGGTTTTGACTTTTATTAAATGCCAAGTTAAGTAATAAGCAATTCAAATGTAACAAACATCATACAGTGTATGTTCGTTCAGTTCAACATCAAAGAACATGTATTGATGAATGGGTAATACAGATTTCTTCATAATATTGGTCTTAATTACCAAAACTGTACACTGAATAACCTTAATTTCCTCAATAATTTCTTATTAATCTATTGTCTTCACTAAAAATATTTCTTAAAATTATATTTTCCAATATCTGTTAAATGCTTGCATTTAGAAGTAAAACTACTTCCTTTTAGGTCAACAGCAGGTTACTTACTGAGATTTGGCACATAATTTTTTTCATAGTTTTATTGTCCTATATCATATCTTTGATAAGTCTTGTCTCTGCAGACCAAAGAGAACTATTTCTTTTAGAAGCCAGTCTCCTGTTGCGATTAATTTCAGAGACTGTTTCCCACCTTTTTCCAGGTCTCTACTCCCTACACCCTCATCTCTATTTACATCGTGTAGATGAAATGAAATCATGACCGGAGCTACTTGTTTAATATCATTTTTATGTTCTTGCTCACATGCCAAGAAATGTTAACACTTTAAAAATAGACAGATAGATAGATAAGAAAAAGAAAAGAACTGTCTCCTTGGGATTTTTTTCTTTTTTTTGTAAGGAAGAAAAGCCTATTCAAAGCATCATAGGCAAAGAGGGAAACTTACCAGAAGAATGCAGAGGTGTTTCATGGAACCTAAAGATGTACAGCCATGCCTCACATGGACTGGGACCACAAGGGAGGCGGGAACGATGGGTCCAGTGTCCTCTGCTTAATGTTGCCTGTGGATAAAATGGCCACATATCCAAGCTCTACATCGCTTCCAACCTGAACTGTTTCCATCCCAGATCACCAGCAGTTGATCTGATTGGCCCAAATAGGAGGTTTTATCCCTCGTTGGATCATCGGTGGCCCATGGGATTTGATCAAAGATGTTAACTGACATTGAGTCTAAGCTCCCCTCAGAACACTCTGTAAAAGATTTAACAAATGTCTTTCAAAATTTCTTTTAATTTGTCTATTTTCAATATCTTTCAGATAAAGTATACAGATACTCTGATGACTACATTCCCAGGTATGTTGAAACTGAGTCATGTATTATAATTTGAAACTAATAGGGGGAAGTCATTATGCTATGTTGCTTATAGATTTGGCTCAGCGATATTGCGCTTGGGTTAAAATAAAACAAACAGTGGGTTTTAATGACTTTTACTCCCATCTGGTGGTTAGAAGCCATAACATTGTTGTCTTCTCTAGTTATTCACACATGCTGAGTCGATGAGAGAGCTGAGTGAAGGATGAAATCAGACTTTAACCTGGCATCTACAGAATTTTCAATAATCTCAGAAGCGATATCCTAGATTATGATTCAGACCAGATTGTAAAAGTGCAGTCTCATTATATATAAAATTGTGCTGCACTTTAGAATCCCAAATACAAAGAAATATGGCAATACCTAATAAAATTTAAGATATGTGTACATACATACATATATATATACACACACACATATATATATATACACACACGCAAATAGATGCTTAGTAGTGTACTGTTTGTAAGGGTAATGTCAATCAGTAGGAAAATCATGATGAATCCGTACTCTAAATAATATAAAGTTATATATATATATAATTTATTATCTTTAATACTTATTAAGTTTTAGAGAAACTTATATAGTAAGATACTTTCTTAAAAAAGAAACTTTAGGGTATAAATCATAGTAAAAAATTTTTTAAAATATATACATAAAGATAATTTCCCAGAGAGCTCTTCAAGACCTTTTTAAATGGTAGACTGAAAGGTCTCTGAAAAAAATAAGGCTTTCTCACTGGGTAGGATGAGATTATATGTCTTTTGGGCCTCTAAAAGGGTTTTTTGTTGTTTGTTTTTTGGGTTTCTTTGTTTAAATTCTTCTTCATGTGAAAATGTTTCTGGCAGATCAGGACCTGGGCTGCAGGCAGACACCTGCCCCCCATCTTTATTTTTATGACTTCTCTTAACATTGGATTCTCTAACATGAGATAATTTTCAAGTCCTTAGTTCAAATCAAGAGTGATTTGCTGATCACTCTTTTGTTTGCTACAACAAACAGCACAACGAAGAAAATCCTATATAAGCACATTAGGAACAGCTAATCCCTTTGATGATTGATCTGATACTTGTCACTTGAAGAGCAATTAAGATGCAATGTGATAGAAAGTCTTGTGATTTGACCATTTGGCTGAAGACCAGGTCAGTGATTTGGGAACTAGAATGGCAGGAGTCAGAAGGGAAAATTGGTAAAATACCCGTCTCAAAGCAAGCAGGCTCTTAGCTACAGGGCAAATGTGAAAAAAGAAGCTGGTTCTTTTAGAACATTTATTCATTCAATAAACATTTACTCAACAAATAGGCACTGTGCTAGACAATTGCAAAACAAGTTCACAGTTCACAAATCCCAAGGAGGGCTCCCGCTGCATGGAAGATAACAACCACCAGGAACAGGAGTTTGAACTCTTCAGCCCACTTTGTCTTGAGTTCTGCATTTACTACTTGCCTGAGTCTGGAACACTTACACACACAAGGAGTTGTGTATGAAGCGAGTTTGTTACTTACAGATAGGCAGCGAGGGACAACAGAAGCCTAGGATTCACTGGGAGCTGTTTCCCCAAGGCTCAGGAAAGCTGCCCCAGGTAGATGGAATCTCGTGTGCATGTGCTGCACTTGCACTGCTTATGAAGGGCCCCAGAAAGCAGCCCACCTTGGGTTTTATACCTGAGGGGCAACATGACATGCTGGACTAAAGCAGCAAAGGACATTCTGTTTCTACAGGAGGCTAGAACAGAGCTTGGGCTGCTCCAGCCAGTTCCTCTTTATCCCAGGATGTTGCATTCCCTGCACATTCTACTGTTATTCTTGAGAACTACAAACAAGAAAGGGAGGTGAACTGGGTTGTTCCCAGGCCACCCAAAAATCTTCTGCAACAATGGAGATACAAAGATGGAAAGACAGATTTTTCCCTCAAGAATTTAATAATCTACTGTTTATTGTAATAAATCTTCATTTAGGACAAACAAGAAAGGGAGGTGAACTGGGTTGTTCCCAGGCCACCCAAAAATCTTCTGCAACAATAGAGATACAAAGATGGAAAGACAGATTTTTCCCTCAAGAATTTAATAATCTACTGTTTATTGTAATAAATCTTCATTTAGGCAAAATTTGAATCTATGATGCAGATTTTATCTATAAAAAGGGGTTGGTATGCTAATTCACGAGTTTATGCGTATACTTCATAACTTTTCTATTTCTCTTGATTATGTGGTTTGGGAACAAAAATCACTTTTGTAGGGGGGCATGGAGGCTTCCGGCAAAACCGAACAATCATAAAACTATCTCCAGGCATTAAAATTTAGAACATGAAAACCGAGCAAGTGGAAATAAGGTCTATCTTTCTTAGGTGGGGCTAGGCTAGTGTTACTGAAACTTCTTCAGTTCCGGAATGGTTCGTGGCTAGGTAGAAGGGAGGGAAGCTTTCATTACATTGGGATCTCACTGCACTCTCTTCCTGCTCCTGCTCAATATCAGTTTAGTTGGGAAACTATGTATGCTGCTGGAGGGGAAACAAACTATTTATCTGAGAACAATGTAGCACCTAAATCTAAAAGAAAGTCTAATACACAATTCTTGGTATTTACCCTTGTGCCACTTTATTTTTTAATTTAAGATATAATTCTACGCAATTCTTGGTTTTTTGATTTGTGTGAGGAGGATAGTGCAGTGGAAATATCACGGATTTGAGATCCAGAAAATCAAACCCCTGTAATTAGTAGATAGTAGTACTAGCAGTGGGTTTTAATCAAACTCTTGCAATTAATAGATTCGTAGTCTTAGGAAAATGATTACACATCGGTAAACTTCAGTTTTACCATCTGAAAAATACAGATTATAATATAATATTTTACTTACAGAGGGTAGTAGATGTTGCTTTATTGGATGAAAATTAAGGTCTAAGAAAATTCCTGCCCACTTGCAGTATACTCACCCCCAAATGCAGGAAAGCAACTCAGGTGTACAATTACTTTCAGCTTATCATGACTTTTTAGTTTTCAGTTTCTCTCAAGAAGCTTAGGACAAATTCCCAGCACCTTTTTATGGTCTGTTCCTGGGTGGCACCGGAGATGCTTTTATCCCAAATCACTATCTCAGTTCAGCCACTCTTCTACCTTAAGGCGAATTCTTGAGCTCTGCTGGGTGGGGATCTTCTTCATTTCCCTTCTTTGCTAAATTTACTAACTAAATATAACGAGTGCCTTGGAGCAGATCTTTAGTCTCAACCGTCCTCTGAGGTCAGGATTGAGAATCTCAGGATTCTCAAGTGGGTGTGCAGAGGAGGTCCTCACCGTGACCCTGACACATGTGTAACTAAGGTGTTTCTAAGTTTTCCAGCCTCTTATTTGTTTATTTTCATGTACAAATAACCATAACCCAAGCTCCAACCCTCTGTAACTGCAAGAAGTCTAGTCCCCTTCCTAAGAATTCATAGAGAATAAAATGATATTCATTTTTTGGACATGATTGATCATTTGCAGGTTGTATCTGCTATCCATGTGGGCTAGGAAAATGGATGGATTGTCTTATTAAAAATTCTTCACCTTTTGCTATTATATTCTCTGCATAGCCAGAGAAAAACTATGAGTGAGGACTACTCTGTTTCACAACATTAAGCTGTATTGAACCACCAGATGGAAAGAAAGGTTACAGATGAGTTCCTCTTTATCAGATAAGCAGAATACATGCCAGTATCTAGACTTCTCAAGCCATTTCATACAGGTATCATTTGAACTGTTATTTAAGGACACCAACTTACCATTTACATATACGGTGTCTTCTTTCAGAAGCATGGGGAGTGATATAGATGTTATGCCTTGAGATAAGAGTTCTTTTTTCTTTTGATGCAATTCCATCCAGCTTCCAGTGACATGTAATCTTAAAGTTAAAGCAGTTGGTACTATATTAATAAATGCTACTTTCACTGCTTGATATGCTTCTCTGTTTCCAGCCTGTCACTGTGAAAGCTAATCACTAGGGCCATCATCAGTGGTAGGATAACATTGGTAGGATGACAATCTGGTGACAATTGTAGGATGTCTACTATAATTCTAATAGCATACTCACATGAGGCTGGAAAAAATTTAATCAAATAACAAGTCAAATAACTGTGTATTTTTGTCAATTCTCTTGACTCGGAGAGACAGAACTGTGGTCCCTGTATAGTATCCTAGACCGTTTCCCTGTAGCCTTTGAATTGTATCACCTTCTACATGACTTCCTCATAATATGGACAGAGCATGGGGCTTTAGGACCAAACTTGCACTACAGTTCTAGCACTGCCAGTTACTATGTGTCCTTGAACAATTTAATTCACCTCTATGAATTGCAAACTCCTTATAAGCACAATAGAAATAAAAATACACATCTCATAGGATTGTCTTGAGGGTTGAATGAGCACTGGCATTGAAGAAAGATTTCATAAGTGGTATTATTACTGATATTACAAAAAGCATAGGGGAAATAAATTAATAGGTCCAAATCTCAGGCTTCTCCTCTGTAAAGTGAGGAATAACAATACTACTTTTGCAAAGTTTCCCTGGGCCTTTGATATAATGTACGTAAAACACTTTACCCAGCATCTAGACATAATAGGTGACCAATCATTTCATTGCATCTGCCAATCTGAGTCTGCAATAGTTACTTAGTAAATATAGTTTAAAGGGACTGTTCAGAGTTGTATTTTGGATAAAGAAAGAGGCAGTACAGTGTACAGTTAGGAGCACAGATAATTCAGGTTTTAATCGCACCTTTGCTATTTACTAGTTTTGTGACCTTGAGCAAATTATATAACCTCTCTGTGCCTCAGATTTCTTATCTGTAAAATGGGGATAATATGCTGCCTACCTGTTGGGATTGTTGTGAGAATTGAATGAACAAATATATGAAATGCACTTTAAGTAGTAACTAATACATGGTAAGTACTGAGTAAGTTCTTGTTATCTTTGTTCCCTGCAAGAAGGTCCAAAACCTAACTTAAAATGTACACACACACACACACATGCATGCATGTGTGCATTCACTCACACACATGTGAACCCATTGGTTGAGGCTGAGCAAGATCGTGGAACATTTTGCTCACTACCGAGTTTAGCTGACAAACTAGTTATGAACTATTGTAAAGAAGACTCTAATAAGGTAAATTATTTTTCCTTATTATAGGGATGATGAATATTATATTGAAGACACACCAGTTTATGGTAATTTAAATAATATAAGCCCAGGTAAGTTTTATTTTTTCATAAATTAAATTTATTGATAAATTAAGTAAACTCCACGAATTCCACAAAGAATTTGAAGTGGCTTACTTTTTTTGTATCACAATCACGAATATCCCAATGGTAAACGTACATTCAAGTACATTTAGTATCTTATTCAAAATATGTTTGCAAAGCTGTATATTGTAAATTGTATTGCCATGTCAGTGTGAATCAACATCCTGTTTTTCTATACCTCTTCATTTCATTCTAGTAGTAATGAGAATACAGGAAGACTATATTACCATGAATTTTGAAACACAGAATTCTATGAAATAAAGCTATTTCTAGAACAGAACTTGGTCCACAGAAACAGTGCTTTGTACTCTGTATACAAAAGCAAATCTACAGTGAATAACCTGGCTGGAATAATGAACTCTTTCTCTGTTTTTTTTTTGGTTTCCTCTGTTTTAACTATTTCCAAGTAGAAAACATAAAGCTGGATGGATGGCAGGTGGGGGTAAAGAAGAGCTAAATCATCACTGAATGGTTTATACGTTTTTTGTTCTTATGTAACAAGTGCTCTTCAATCACCAACATCTCTTATTACTCGAACCATCCCAACCACCTAAAAACAAAACACCCTAAATTCCTCAAAACTGTCAACCTTGGTCTGATCTCAGGGCCCTTTCCCTGCAAGCACTTTTTCAGTTCATGATAGGAGACTGTGAGATTAATTCCCATTGACCTCTAAGTCTTGAACACAGAGATTTCCAGTAATGTACTTTATTTATATGAATATCTGTATGTCAAAACAGTATGGAATCCTCCTAAAGTTAGGAATATGGGAATTTTATAAGATTCAAAAATTTACTTAATTTTGTCTTTCCCTCCATTTTAAAGTGTTCTCTACTCTCTGCACTCTAAGGCATCAGAAACTATTTTTTAGGAATATACTATTAAAATAATTTGCCCTCCTCTTTTACTTTGCAGAATCATGGTGCCCACCTATGATTTTAAGGATTTAAAATTTTATGTATTCTGGTGTCTCCAAGTCTACCCTATCTACAATATCCATACCTAGTAAGCCAGGTATCACTCCTACAGATTTTGGTTTGTCAAGTCCAGGATAGGGCTTAGGAATCTGCTACTTAACGAACGTCCCAGGTGACTCTGATGCAGATTTTCCACAAACCATGACTTGAGAAACATCACTCTGTGGACACTTTTTCTGTGTTGCTTTTCATAAAGGATTGAATGATTATTGGGTATGTTCTGTTATAGTAAATAAATCTTTTTCTCTCTGGGGTCAAATTGGTGCCATCCACATTTTTGCTGGGTCACTGGCCATCCTATACCTCTACCTCTCTTTCCTTTTTCTTTTAAATGGGCATATCTGGGGAAAGAAAGCTGTGGACAATTCAAGAGGCGAATTGGTGCCATCCACATTTTTGCTGGGTCACTGGCCATCCTATACCTCTACCTCTCTTTCCCTTTTCTTTTAAATGGGCATATCTGGGGAAAGAAAGCTGTGGACAATTCAAGAGGCATGTCCCCACAGGATGAAATGAGTGTAGGTCTACTGGCTGTTGGACAGTGTACAAAATCCCCAAATACTTAGGACCAGTCCTGTGCAGCTCCAGACCTTAGTTAAGACCTTAGTTAGCCTAGCTGAGCTGTCCTGTCACTGACTGATGGGACAAAAATCACAATCTAAACCCTCTTTTTCAAAATCAAGATGTTGGGCTTTAAATGCCTTTGAGGAAAACTTCTTACTCGTGGAATAAATTATAAAATTGTAATTATTATTATATGTGCACTGAGCTTTATGGCACCATACGCCATTTCCAATTATACCTAAATGCAGAGAACACAGTCAGTCCTTTAACTCATGAAATCTCTATAACATCTAAATGGTAGTTTAAGTTGAGATTGTCATATTATGCAGTGGTATAAAAAATGTGATTATTCTTTATGCCCCTTACCCAACCAATCACTCCCCAACTCCCCTCCCTTTTCCCTCCCTCCCCATATTTCTAGTATCTCTCTTTCTGAAAGTTCAAAGTTATTGCCTTCCTTCCTTCCTTCCTTCCTTCCTTCCTTCCTTCCTTCCTTCCTTCCTTCCTTTCTTAGCATTTACAATTTGTCATAATGAATATGCTAATAAAAATAATAAATATAAATAAAAGAAAAAAAATGACGTGATATAGTCTGTATCCCAAGGACTTTTTTTTTGTTTTATCATTAATGCTGTGGGACAAAAGACTTTGCTGTCTGATCTGAAGGTTACAGTTTGTGCTTCCTTACCTCTCTGCAACTTTACCAGAAAGACTAGTTAAGCGATTCTTAGGGGTCTCATATTTATAGCTCAATGCTGTTTGGATCATGTATTTTTATTTGTGCCAGCATTTTTCACTTTTCCATTGTAAATCACAATCTAGTCAACTCCCAAGAACCAGTGGATGAAAATTGCTATGAACAAATGAAAGCCCAACCAGAGATATCTGTAAATGAGATGCAAGAACACACCCCATCTGCACAGGTGAGTTTTGTTTTCTGTATCAAGGGTCAAATTGAGTCTAGGTCAAAGCACATATGCATTTTCAAGAACATAAGAGCAGTGCGTTCTGATACATATCAGAAGTAGCCTGTTAGAAATTTTGCAATCTGAATCAGGTGTCAAGATCTGGGACTTGAGCTCTGAAGGTAAACTCAGAGGCAAGTAAAGTAAACAGACATCCAACCACAGTCAAAAAAGTCAGAACTGTGTAGAATTATAGAAGCAATAGATTTGAAGGCAAAAGTGAGATTATTCCTAAATAATCAATTAAGCTTTTTCTTTCAGATTGAAAAATTTTTAAGTATCACAGAGATAAATATAAAAGTGGACAATGCATAATTCTCACAAAACCTTCATGTCAGGAATTCATGAGAGAGAGAAAGAGAGAATTTTAGTTATACGATGAATTAGCTGGATATAAAACATCATACCCCTATTTTACAAGGCAAATGAATATAAATTTTAATACAAATCTTAAAGCTTAAGTCTTATGGTAAGACATTTTGAAACACACACACAATTTGTATGCAGTTGGTCGGAAGAAAAACCCCAGCAGAAACATAAAACTCAAGAAGAAATGGTTATTTTCTCCCTTTCCTACCACAATCAGTTCAGCCTCCTTAGACATAGCACTGACTTCATTAAAAGCCATTCACACTTGTTGGCTTACATGCTACTGAGGTGTTACAAATTTCAGTTAGAATTTCCTAAGCACTTGCTATGTGTTGGGGCTTGTATTATGTGCTTTTTATGTATTATTTCCTCAGAGTCCTGTGGGGGAGGAAACAATGTTATTCCCATTTTACAAATGCTTGCAAAGGATGAATAAGTTGCCCTAGAGTACTCAGGTACTAAGCGAGGAGACAGAATCCAAACTTAGTTCTGTCTAACAGAAAACATTCTCTTCTCTAAAATGGGTCACATCTTGGAAACTTCCCACGAATGTATAATTCTTTACTCCTTATATAAGTCCCCTAAGAAATCCGAATCCTTGAAATTTTTATTAAGAAATCAAGATGAGATGAGGTTTGGGCAAAATACAAAGTAACCCTCTGGCAGACAAATCTGTCATTTGATGTTCAATAATTGTAAAATATATTTTGAGACAAAAGGTATGAAAAACTGCATGATATCATATATCTTCTAAATCTAAGATAATAAAAAAAACTCTCAAAGAAGGTTAAAATATAACCCCACAGTCTGAAATGTAGGGTCACATAAACTTAGTTGTAAAAGAACTGAGAATTCTGACTAGAATTTACTATTTAATATGTAGGAATTATACAGGCCAGTTTTATTTGACCTTCATCTAGTTTTTACTCAAGTGGAAATTGTCCAAAGCCCTAAAATGTCTTTAAAAGTCTGCTATTATGTAAATTGCATATTTAAAGGTACTTCTAAGAAAATTAGTCTTTATTCTATTATTCCCTTATAAATTTAGTTTCACAAATTAGAAGTAATCTCTTTACATTTGCTCAATTCTATTTTATTGATAGTGATAATCATTATCATTAACAACACCACCCAGTTTGATACTACATACTTTGTTACTCTGGTCAATCACAAAAGCATAAGTGATCTATGATATCACACATAAAACTTGATGGATAAAGTGCTTGTTTGTTGGGAAAAAAATAACCCCCTTACCCTTTGAAAATGATGAGTATGGTTCATAAATTGTAATTTTAGTATCTCAGACTACTATTAACTAGGAAGAGTTAATCAGGAAAACTATTAATAAATTGAGTCCACAAGAGTTTCCATATCCTAAAAAATTTGAGGGACAAAAGAATGAACTTGTTTCTCTTTCCTTATCTTCATATCCGAATCTCTAATCAATCCTTCCCTTCCCTCCTATGTCAGAAGCATCCTCTGTCCTTTCCAAAGCCAGCACTCTTACTTGTGCTCTTGACCACTTCTATATCTTTTAGAGTCTTGCACCTTCAATTATTTAATTTTTCTCCATTTTCCATTTTTTGTTTAAATGAATCATTATTATTTGTCTATCCCTATGCATGAATCTTTCCAATATTTAAGCATTAAAAACAAACAAAACAACAAAACCTCACTTCAACTTGTTTTCTCTAATTTCTAAACTGGTTCTTCCCTTCCTCTATTGTTTGCATTTCTTTCCATAGATACACATTCTTTTATTCCTGGCTACATGTCTTCCACCCATGCACTCACTGAAACGGCACTCTGGCAATCTCAAGTAACTATTAAGCAGATAATTTGTAGTCATTTCTCAGGATTCACATTCTTTTAAACTCTGCAGGACTTGACTTTATTCACTCCTATTATTAACAGACTCCTCCATTGAGGCTGTGCAAGCTATGGGAAGCCCCAGATTTTTTTTCCTCCCAGTCCTAGGGAAAGACACTTTTTCTTTCCTGAATGTGCATGTGTATATCAATCCTAGAGCTCTCATCTAATTGGCTCTGCTGAAGGCACATGCCCATTCCTGGGCCATCCTCTGTTGCTAGGGGGATGGGTAGCAACCAATGGTTGGTCCAGACTAGGTCACATGCTTAGTCGTGTGCTGAGCTTGGGGTACAGCACTGTAATTGACAGCCTCTCTAGAACTAGATGGAGGAGAGGAATTTCTTAAAGAAAAAAGGGGGAATTTATAAAAAGAAGAGGGATAGAACAAAGTGCTGGACAGACACAAAAGATATCCACTCCTTTGTGTAACTGAGTGCCGTTCAAATTTCACTGACATCTGTCCTGTCTGAGCAAAGGCAACAGAGGTAAAAGCATAAAGTACGTACAGAAAGCAGTGAAAACAGAGTTGATGTAAGGAAGTAGTGGGAATCAAAACCGGAAGCATGGAATAGTGTCAGATATGGAAAATCTTGAAGGACAGGTTATAAAATTCAGACTTTAGTCTAAAATTTGGGGGACAGGATGGTGAAAGTTGTGCTTTACGAAGATAATTTGAAGACAGTTTGTGGGATAAATGGCAGAGGAAAGAGACTAGAGAAAGGACACTATTTACGCAGCTATTGCAATTTTCCAAAAATGATTATTTTAGGAATAAAAAAAAGCCAGACAAATAAACCAGAGAGGTTGTAAATAAAACCATCTCTTTTGCCTGGTAGAGAATATGAGATATTTCACTTTTAACATGAAAATGAGTGCCAATAGGAAGATATTTACCATGCATTTTGGGTTTTGTTAATCTAAATGTTACTTCCTCACTCCCTGCCCCCACAAATCATAGTTTTGGACTAGTCTTAAAGTTAAACCCTTAATACAGAAATCTTTGGTTTATCCTATGGCTATCCTAAAGTTTTAGCCTGTGACTTCTAATAATTATAATTTTGGACCACCTTACTTTTTGAGGGTAGTTATAACTTCCATATACATTGCCTCTATTAACTAATAAAACTGTGAGGTAGGTATTACTACTCTCATTTTATAGGTAAGAAAATTAAGCTTCAGAATAGTCTTTGAAAACTGCCTACAGTCTTATGACCAGTATATGGCAGAGCTGGGATTCAGTCCTAGGTTCACTAACAGCAAATTCAAGCCTGTTGCTTCCCCAAGTTACCCTAGTCTTCTGTCCTTCTCATCCTAGTATTGACCCAGCCCTAGGCCAGGGAGGGTCACCAGACCCTCTTGGATGTGAATGGATACCTCCAAGGCCAGCCTAAAATGATCTCACAGGAAATCTCGGGATAGGCAGATGAGAGGAAAATAATAGAGAAAGATGAGAAATTTAATTCTTTCTCAGATGCTAGTCATGTAAGTGGACACTGTTACCTTTATTCTTCTGAATCTTAAAAATGTAGAAAAGTTGGGGACTTTTGTGAGTACTATTAAATAACCACTTATTAAGCACATGTAAAGTGAACCTTGTGATTTTAAAAAATTCTTCCTGTCATGTTTGTTTCTACATCAACGAACTAGGGTATTGTTACTTTGTAAAAGCAACATAGGACAAGAGCTGCCTGAGGTGAAGGTGGATGTAGGGACAGGTGAGAGTCCACCTAAAATGTTCATGTGCATTTTGAGTATAAGAAAGAAATAAAAATCCAGGAAAAAGTTTCATGTAAGCATTTTTTTTTCAACTCAAAAGACTTGAGTTGATTATTGTTTTTCTTTCTGTTATCCCGACAAATTTGGCAAAAGAAGGTAACTGAAGCCCACAAAGAAAATTACTTGTTTTTCATAGGCCATAGAAATTTCCAGAAGTCATCAAAGTTAAAGAACAGGCTAACAAGAAAAAATTAACATATGATTCTTTCAGGCAATGGCTGAAACACAGATGTGCTACGCATCACTTAATCACAGCTTTAAGGGGAAGCACAGAAAGCCCAGGAAACAGAATCCCTACTTGTCAGACAAGGATGAAGATGAGCAGTTACATGCACTGCATACCAGTGTGTCTAAGAGCACTTTGGTGGACCGTTTCTCACCAGAAAACCAGGCAATAGAGGAAAACATTCATGACGACCCTATCAGATTGTTTGGATTGATTCGTGCTAAGAGAGAACCTGTAAGCTAGCTGGACTATGACCTTGCTCAGTGATTTGGCAGGAAATCATAGAGATGGTTGTTAAGAAAATAAGATCCCTATATGACACAGAATGACCTGGCAAGGGTGACTATCTTATTTGTTGATGGGATTGTGGCTCACCTTTTATTCAGTGCTTACGTTTATGCACACCAAAGTAATGCCACGAAAATCAGTTATTTGAATTCACTTAAAAATGCCTAAGTAGTAAAATATAAAATAAAACCCATTTTGCAAATTGAACCTGGTAACAAAGTCACAACTTTACAATAATATCTTATACTCAGAGAAATAAACAAAAAAAATATTTAAGCATGAATGTTTTCTGGAATATGTTGAAAGAAAAATAAAAGCCAGTAATTTAAAAAAAACATTTCTCCTTTCTCACCAATGTGAAACAACACATAATTGGAAGAAATTTCTGATTGAAAGGTATACAAGACATTAAAATACGTTACTAAGAGAAGTGGGATAATCTTCTCAGGAGGTATTTTTCCCAAATAGATAGCTTCATTAGTTTAAAAATTACTGCAATGCATGTTTCTAACAACAATAAACTAATATAAAAAGAATTTAGAAATTCCACAAGCCAGAGATAATCACTATGAGCAACTTTCCATATATCCTTCTAAATATTTTTCTGAGCATGCCCACGTACATATATTGGTTGTTATTTTATTTTATTTTTTTCAAAAAAAGGGAGAGATGATTATTTTACACATATTATTTAAACTTTCTGGGCTGGCTGGTTAGTTATCTTAGTTAGAATGTGGTGCTGGTAACATCAAGGTCAAGGGTTCAGCTCCCTTACTGGCAGCCACCAAAAAATAAGTAAATAAATAAAAATAAACTTTCTTTACTTAACGGCATATTGTGGATTATTTCCACTGTTATATTTAACTACATCAAAGTACAGTTATATGTTTGTTTATTATTCCATTGATGACTACATCAGAATTTATTTAAATAATTTTGAAGGACATTTAGCTTGTCATTTAATTGTCAGTAAAAATGTCAATTGAAGGGCATTTAACTTCTGTCTCCTGCTTTTACAAATAATGTTGTAATGGGAATCTTTCCCCATGCATGTCTGAGTACTTGTCTAACTTATTCTTTAAGCAAAATGCCTAGAAAAAGAATTGCTATATTAAAGATGTTCATATTGTGAATCTCCACAGGATAGATTTTTGAAAGGGGAAGAGTTGGTTCAAAATGTGTATTCAATTTAAATTCTGATAAATGCTCCTAAATTGTCCTCCAAAAAGTTATTTAAAAGAAAAAAAAAACTTTCAATAAATGGTGCTGGGAAAATTGGCCATTCATATGTAGAAGAATGAAACTAGATCCTCTCGCCATATACCAAAATCAATTCAAAAGGGATTTTAAAAATTATATATAGATCCTAAAACTATAAAACTTCTAAAAGAAAACAGGGGAAATACTTCATGAAGTAGGACTGGGCATAGACTTTATGAATATGATACCAAAAGCACAGGTAACAACAACAACAAAATAAAGAAATGGGATTATAGCAAACTAAAAAACTTCTGCACAGCAGAAGAAACAATTAACAGAGAAAAAAGACAACCAACAGAGTGGGAGAAAATATTTGCAAAATGTGTATCTGACAAAGCATTAATATCCAGAATTTACAAGGAACTCAAACAACTTAACAGTAAAAAAAAATAACCTGATTAAAAAATGAGCAAAGGAGCTGAGTAAGCATTTCTCAAAGGAAGATACTCAAATGGCCAACAGACACATGAAAAAATGCTCAACATCACTCAGCAACAGGGAAATGCAAATCAAAACCACATTGAGACGTCATCTCTCTCCAGTTAGACTGACTATCATCAAAAGGACAGAAATAACAAATTCTAGTGAGGATGCAGAGAAAGGGGAACCCCCCTACACTCTTGGTGGGACTGTAAAATGGTGCAGCCATTATGGAGAATGGTAAAGAGTTTCCCCAACAACCATAGATAGAACTGCCATATGACCCAGCAATTCCACCACTGGATATACACCCAAAGGAATGGAAATCATCATGTTGAAGAGACACTTGTGCCCCCATGTTTATTGCAGCTCTATTTACAATAGCCAAGAGTTGGAATCAAACTAAATGCCCATCATTGAATGAGTGGATAAGGAAAATGTGGTACATTTATAGAATGGAATACTACTCTGTCTTAAAAAAAGAATGAAATGCTGCCATTCTCAGCAACATAGATGAATTTAGAGAAAACTATGTTAAGAGAAATAAGCCCAGCAAAGAAATAGAAATATCACGTCCTCACTTGTATGTGGGAACTAATAAAAAAAGAAAAAGAAAAAAAAGGTACAACAATCACAATAATACATTGTACTTTTCTAGGGAAGAGAACAGAGCTGAGGCTGCCAGAGGTGGGAAAGAGGGTGAGGAAGGGAGGAAAGGGAGCAATTGGTAAAGGGCCATGAAAATTGATTATATTGTATAATGCTGAATATACTAATTATCCTGATTTGAACATCAAAAAGAAACAAATTTTAAAAGTAAATAAATAAAAATAAAAAATGAGTTTTCTGAACCCAGGCAGCTCTAATTGGTGTACCCAAAGACATTCCCACTTTGAAGTACCCATCTATGCAATAATTATCAATAAACTTAGAAGACAGAAAAAAAAAAGTGAAGCAGGTTTTCCAAAACTCATTGCCTTGGCATATTTCGTGAACTCAGTGTTGACATCTTATTTTTAAGATAAACAATATTAGGTTAGAACTGCTAGTTTATTAAGGTATAATCTGCTAGTTCTGAAAAAGCCATTTAGATATTACTAAGAATAGCTAAGCATGAAGCTTTTGCTTCAGGTTGCCCGTAGATGCTTTTGGTTCCCATGTTGTAATCAGTAACCTATGACTGTGGTTTTGTGTTCTGTTAGAAAAGTACAGCTGTACTGGAATGTTCCCCCTCCCTTTCAATACCTCCCTTTTAAACTTTCTTATAAAATGCCTTTGCTTGCAGTAGACTTCAGAACACTTTCCAACTCTGCTGGTTGTGTTTCCCAGGTTGATCCTCAAGCTTGGCTTTCAATAAACCTTTAAAAAATTTTAAAAAAAAATCTTTCTGTTATCTTTCTCCTTTGTGAAGCCATGATTAATTAAGGTTTATAATAAATATCTTCAACTTATCATAGTCTATATTCAAATGTAGTATTACTTTGGTATAGTATAAGAACCTTAAAACAGTGTACCTCTGTTTCTTCCTTTCTAGTCTTGTGCTATGGATTTTGTATGTTTTACACACTTATTATTTTTTTCTTTGACTGGTCAATTATCTTTTTAAAAGATTAAAATAATAGTAAAAAGTGCCTTCATATTTATTCATGTAGTTAAGTTTCTAGAACTCTTCAATCCTTTGTAGAATCGAGCGTGTCTAGTATTATTATCCTTCAGCTTGAAGGACTTCCTTTTACATTTATGGTAGTTCAGGTCAACTGTTGATGAATTCTCTTTGCTTTTGTGTATCTGAAAAAGGCTTTATTCATTTTTATTTTTGAATATTTTGCTGGGTAGAAAAAAAATTCAAGACTGAATTGACAATGTTTCTTTCAGTAATTTAAAAATACTGCTCCATTGTCTTCTCATTTGCATTGTTTCTGACGAAAAATCTACTGTCACATTTGTCTTCTGTGTGTTCTGTATTGTTTTTCTCTGATGGTTTTAAGATTTTTCCTATCACTTTTTTATTTGATTATAATATACCTTTTTTTTTTCTTCACGTGTCTTATGTTTGGAATTGTGAACTTCTTTGGATCTGTATGTTTATAGTTTTCATCAAATTAGGGGAAAAAATGAGCAATATTTCTTTATTTTTTTCTGTACCCAGACATGTATGGACAGTGATCAGTGGGGGCAGAATGAAAAGAATACCATAGATAAAACCGGGGACTGGGAAAGCAAGGCACAATCACAAGGGACAGAAACTAAGAATAAGTACAAGATGGTAAGAATGGAGTTCAAGACTCCATAATGAATCAGGCTTATCAGACAACAACTGTAATAATAATAACTAATGTTTGTTAAGAACTTGTTAAGTACTATACACTGCAATAAGTGCTTACCTATATACCTGATTTAATCACAGAACACCCTAAAAGATAGATACTCTTTACTATTATAATCCTAATTTTATGGATGAAGAAACCAAGATTGATAAAGAATAACTTGCCCAATGTCACACAAATAAATCACAGATTCAGGGTTTGAACACAGACAGTCTTATTCCAGAACTGGCTGGCTCTGTAGAGTAGCTGATCCCTAGAGTTGGTTCCAAGTACCCTGGGATCCTATTTTTTTATTATCCCTACACTCTACCTATTTAGTTATAATAGTCTCTCCTTTATTTTAAGTTTTGTGCCTGGTCTTCTATTATTTAAAATCAAAAAATGGTAACTAAAGAAAATTGAAAAAAAAAATTCTTAAAAACAGTGATAGTTTATGTTAGCTTTTATGTACTAAGAGTCCAACTATAAGTCCACTTAGAGGACAGTCTGTGAACTTTTATAAAGAGAGAACAGAACTGTGGTTACTAGAGGTGGAAAAGGCGAGGGGAGGGGGGGAGGAAGAGGGGTTAATGAGAAAATGGTTAATGGACACAAAGAATAATTACGTATTGTAGTGATGAATAAGCTAACTATCCTAATCTATCCAAATCCTATCCAATGGATTTGACCATCGCACACTGTACACAATTATTGATAATCAACTTTGTACCCCAAAGACATGTATAATAAATTATCTTTAAAAAACAAATGACAGTCTGTTTCTTTCAATAAACACTAAGACTTATATCCACCACAAAATTTTTATATTAAAATGTCTTTTACAGGTAAATATTTTATCAATGCTACTTGCTTTAAAATGACTTAACTTTTCTTTATCAGTCTTGTAGGGAAAACAATAGAGGTCAGCCCTGCAGTGACTTTGTATGCTAATGTCATGTTCACTCTCCATTAAAGATAAAACCCAAAACTAACTTACAAAAAAAAAAAAAACTTTGTGA